TATTAATTGACAAAGTTATAGTTCAGATTTATAATAATTCGACACCATCGTGAGATAAGAGTGGAATGTCGTAAATTATTTTGTACGATTAAATTACGATTCTGCAAAATACAACTGAAATTGCTTGCCATTTGGCGTATCGAATGAGACTCTTTGGATTCTTAAGTAAGCGTCGGACACGTCGATTTTTCAAGGCGACGAGAGCATCCATTCGTTAACAATAATTATCCTTGGAGACAAATGTAACAATTATTTATGAAATTATTGTAGAATTATTGAAATCTATGCTCGATAATTCGCTATAATGTGCCTACGTCGTGTGATTAAGGTTGGCTTAATAATGTAACGGCCAATGTCGCGAGTAATATCGTAAGTATTTTTAAGACAATAAAGAGCCTCCAAAGTTCTATCTTTCTCCTACATAGAAAATAATGACGATACAAGATATGAGATAAAAAAAGAAAAAAAAGAAAAATGATAATTGAAAAAAATGGAAAATATCTTGACGAAACGTACGAAAGTCGTTGGAAATCGAGTGCTCGTTCGGGCATGGCGTGGCATTATGACATTTTCAAGCAATTTTCATCTCACCTAATTCTCGCTCGCGCAGACGCGCAGATTCGCATTCTCACCGTCCAAAAATAATCATAAAAAGAACAATAACTAATAATAACAACAACAATAACTGATAATAATAATCATAATAATAATAATAATAATAATAATAATAATAATAACTGATAATAATAATAACAATAACTGATAATAATAATAACAATGACAGCAACAAGAACAACAATATTAGCAGCCCATAATGCGTATGCAGATGGGTCGATTAATCTCCCCGGCTGGCAGACATTCCGTCACGCGCGGTAATCACTTGTCCTGGCTCGAGGACTCGGCTATTTATGCCTACCTATCGGGAATACCAAGCGGTCGGGCTTTTATTGCTACCGGTCAATCTGCCGGGTTAGATCTTGAAATATATCAGTAGCCGTATAAGACAAGGACGCGGAAAACGTGTCTATTGTTTGCCGGCCGCGGCGGACCGACTTTTATTTACAAGGGCAGCCCCGGCTGAATTATTGTATTGGCTCGGATCTTGATTTGGTTGATAAGGGCCGGGCTGATAAGGGGAGGGTGTAGAATATCGGGATGAGCAATTAATCCCTGCGTAGCGATAAATTGTTGCCGTGTAAACGTGATTCTCGCGTGGGGGTACATTTATTATGGCTGGGCTGGCTTTAGGTGCGACGAGGCTGAAAAGTTGCGCGATGCCTCCTTCCTCCCCGGCAATGTAATTAATTTTTCTTGTCGCAATTGGTCGGACCGTCATTGCGTATGTGACTTTTACGTAGCTACCACTCGACAATATTATATCGATTTTTGCCGTGGAATTTTTCGGAGCGCACCCGCACGTTGCGGTTCTTTCACTTTGTTTGTCCTCTTCATCATCGTCGTCATCGGCATCGCGCATCTCTTTTTTTTCATTTCTTCTTCTTCTTCTTCTTCTTCTTCTTCTTCTTCTTCTTCTTCTTCTTCTTCTTCGTCTTTTCTTTTTTCAGAAGTAGCCTAGGGCGAGCCACGTTCGTATTTTTTGTATTAAGAGTTTAGAAACGCTTGAGCGTTTATTAGCTGAAATAAAGAATTCAAAAATACGTTACGCTCGAGCACTGTTGATTTAGAATTGCAAGCGATACGAAAGGGCCGGCGGAATGTGGCTGTGCCGTACTGGAAAATTTAATTAGAAAAATTCTGCTATAAAATTTGCGGCTCCCAATGGATCATGCGTAGTTTCGATAGTCATAACGCTCAGTTTTATTATTGCGATAGCGAATTTATGATATAACAGTATAGAGCCTATGTATGCCAGTCTCTTAACGTCCAATCGCCGTTATTATTCATTTTATTCGCAATTATTCATTCGAATTGCATTGTTAAAATATAATCACACTTTTTAATGCATTAATCATTAAGACAAATTAGTGCCAATGCGAATAGGTTTTGTGTGTGTCGCGCGCGCGCGCACTTTAATTGCATCTGAAAGCAGCTCGTACTTTGAATAACCGTTAATAATTAACGAGAGATGGTTATCATAAGAGAGCACTCGACATCATCGGTTGCTCATCCCAAACGTGAATAATCGCAACTCGGACGTTCCGAACAACTCGGTCTCCTCCTACTCGCGGGAATGTTGCGACTGCCCGGTGCGGAAATGGCATTATGGAAATTACGCGAGACGGCGACTAGGGGCGAGAAGAGCGACGCTGTGTCTAAGAAGCGAGGACGAGATGATTAGCGAACGGGCGAATGAGAAACGTGCGCGCGTCACGGAGCACCGCCAAGGAGGGAAAAACGAAGGATCACGGGGATCACGAGATCGGAAGTGGAAAATCCCGTAGGCCGTAGTCGTGCGAAAAATTGGCATTCGCGCGTCATCGGTTGGGGAAGAAAATTTTGGGAAATCGTCGGTGTGGGAAGCGCCTTCGTTGCATTAACGAGCCAGGACTGAAGGGCTGAGCGACAATGTCCTTACAATGTGCTTTATCACGTGATCCATTCGAGCTTGTGCGCACGCATTTGCAGTTAACGATAAAGCGATTATCTAATAATTAAGCGAGGAGCTGCAACGAGGTAAGCATTCTATTATGTAATATATATCGCGAACGAAGGGGGGAGGGGGAGGCTTTCTGAACGTGCAGGTGTACATTAATTCAATGTGTGAACGCATTATTTTTCGTTTTTCCTTTTCCTACCTGTTTTTCTTTATTTCGTTTTAAACGACATTGTAATAGTACATATAAATTGGCCAATAATGTAAAATGTAAAATCAAAAGTACGTGAAAAATGTGAGTGAGTAAGTCGAAGGTTTTAAAATTGAGAGAGACGGGAAGTGGGGGTAGGGAAGAGGCGTTAGGAGAACGAGCGTCCCAATCGAAATAAAATGCGGAATCGCTTAAGCCGACGCAACATCGGCGTAGCGATCAAACCGCGGCATCGGGCCCGCGATAAACGTGCAAACGGCAATAAACGTAGGTCGCGAGTCTATAACTCGGACTCCAACTCGAATATCGGCATCCCCCGTCTTAAACCTCCAATGCGGCAAAGCATTCATTAGCCATTGGCGCGTGACCTTAAGAAGGTCGCGGGCGATGCGCTCGTAGATCTCGAGTCGAGAAACGAAGGCTCGTGTGGAGCGCTAATCCGCTAACTCGCTCGAGCTACCGTTCCCTACCTAACGAGGAACTTCCTCATCGTGATCCGTCCTCCGTGCTCTACCCTCTTTGGTCCTCCTAAGCCTCGACACGAATACCCTGACTTTTTAACGGGCGAACGGATTGATTGATTGAGTCATCGGAAGGGGGCAGTCTAGGCTCGATCGCGATCGTTTAGCGAATGTAAGGAAAGTGGTGTGGCATTTAAGCGCTTGTCGGCATCGACGATGATCCATGAATTCTCATTGTTCCTCGGCGAGCACAACGCAGTCCCCTGCAATTATCCCGTGCTCCCTCATCGAAGCAAATTATTCTTCATCGCCATATTCTACATCGTTTCGTTATTTCTACGATCTCAGCGTGAAATCCTTATTTATCTATCGTCGAATCGCCTACAATATATCCGAGAGCATAAATCATAAAACTATTCGACTGTGGACGATGGCATTGGAATATCAAAATAAGTGTATCGGGCTCTTGGCGTTGTTAGTGGGAGGTAGGTGGTAGGTCACGTGGCAGGTAAGGAAGCGACGGATTAGTGCGATGATTCTCGTCTTAGCCAAATGCTTCGGGGAGAAAGGATGGTGAAAAAGCGCCACGATTATCAAATTAATCCTGGCGCCCTTGATTCGAGCTAATCTCGGAATCGCGAGCGCCATTTGTTAATTAAACATCATTTTATGCGTTTATTGAGTGGCGATAGGAGTGGCGGCGATCGCCGTCGCTACGTGTCACCCTTTCCCGAGAGGGAATACGGGGCCGGGGCGGACAGCGTTATCGCGGCAGTCGACAATTAACGATCACCCGCGTATTATTTCATTACCCTCGCGCGCGGACTAAATTAAAGCCAAATAGGCATTGGGAACAATGAGATATATCGGCTAGCGGCATCGGGCCGGGCCGCGGCAAAAAAATCGTGCGCTCCTATTTTCCTCGGAGGCGAAAGGAAGGATCGCGCACCACACCCTCGGCCATTACCAGCTCGCGCTCGCTCGATCGGCTGCAAAGTGCCCCGGGTGGGGAGGCCGAGTCGATCAGTCGCGGGCGACACCCGAGGTTCGCGGGCGTTATAATTCACGCGGTCGGACGTGGGGCTCGTTACCGGGGCGGAGATCGGGCCCCCGGACACGAAGGACGTCTGTGCCCGTGGGAGGACGTGCGTTTTTCCTCGTCAAAAGCAACGGGACCGGAATGCGTCGATGTAGGATCGCGATGGGACGAGGACTTTGAGACCGTGCTAGCACCGCGTATTAACGATCCTTAACTCCAACCTGATTACGCACCATTCCGAGGTCCTGTTACAACGATGCGCGATAAAAACGCTCCTCGTACACGCTTCTCTTATCAGATTCAACATATCCAAGCGGAGCCCAATGAAAACGCGTAGAATCCTCCCTCCGTGGATTATGTTTGACCCGCTCGAGAGTACGTGGGTACGGTTTTTCATGGCGATTCGCGGACTTTCTTGTTTCTCTTCTCGTTCCTATAAAAGATTATGATTAAGCGATAGTCGTAAGGCTTGGCGAAAAATCTCTCATACTTTCACAATGCATTATATATTACCGCCGATGACAGTCCGAGTCGGCGGAGCCGCGCCGGTTTTTCGTCGCTTTATCGGCACGCGCGCATAGTGCGCAAAAGTAGAACGAACCCGCGGATCCTTGCCTTCCTTTAAGCGCAATGTCCATCCACCCACTCATCTAGCCGCTGCTCGATATCGTTTGCCGGTAATTGAATCGTAAGAAAGAAATAAGATGCTTATTGATATACGCGGTTTCGCTCTAGTTGCTTGGGCTATGCTCAGCCAAACCTCGCTCTCTACCACCACCCCCCCCCCCACCCCAACCCCAACCCCAACCCCAACCCCAACCCCAACCCCAACCCCAACCCCAACCCCAACCCCAACCCCAACCCCAACCCCAACCCCAACCCCAACCCCAACCCCAACCCGAACCCCAACACTTGCGTGTAATAAATAACGCTAATTGTGCGAGGGCATTAATCAATCGATTCTCCCCAATCTCCCCAATCTCTCTCGTTGCGTATAATAGCGACGCGCATCCTGGCAAGAGTTGATCTCGGAAATCGAGGACTAGATCGCGCACCCACGTAAGCGCATCTAGCCGTTACAAGTGAAAACGTACGTACGGCCGCCGCGCGGACTCTTGCGGAATGCGAGGGCGGGGTCCCTCTCCTTTCTTCTTTGCTATCTTGTCGCACTGGCCTTGCTCTCTCTCTCTCTCTCTCTCTCTCTCTCTCTCTCTCTCTACTCTACTCTACTCACTCTGTCTCTACGCTCTGTACAGTTGTCTCGGTCCGCGAACACTTTATTGCGGCGAGCCGGGGAAAAGAGTGAATTTTGATAAGCGAGCGGAGAACGCCGTGTGGACCGTTTGTCAATTGTCTCGCTCGGCCCAAAGATCCTTTAGAGCTTGTTCCTATTAATGCGCGGATAATACGGAATGATTTTGATAATCATAAGGGAGAATTAATAGGTGACTAGCGAGACGCGGAAAAACCAGCGCGAAACTTTAATCCGAAAATACGAACGAGACTCCGAGATGATCATTAGCACGAGCAGTAAATGTTAATGGCATTAATCATCATCGTCCCCTCTTATCTCTACTAGATTAGATTAGATTCTACTAGATTTTTCATTATGCTCTCGTTACTTTCCTATTTAATCGACAATCGACATCGACATGATATTTTAATTCGCGCCTCTTGTAGTCGCTCGTCTCTGGGTAATTGAGTTGTCGTGAGGGACAATGTCGATCGCGTCCATTCAGCGTCCCATCTCAAAGTTACAAAGTTATCCTTCCTATCCTGTAAGTTACGAAGCCGAAGGTTACCGACTGAAATTCGCATTGCGACACTGGCGCATTGTACCTTGCGCCACACGAGTATCGTACTCTCGTACGCACAGCCCTAACCCGAGGTTGTTAACCCGTTACTACTCAAACCTATAAGCCGTTGTATGTGTGTTATGAGACTTGTCACGGCACCGCGCGCGCACAATCATTAATAGACGGCAGACTCGCGCTATAAACTCCTTTCTTTTCTTCATTACTTTAATTGCTATTTTAATGGGATAAAATAGTGTCACAATTCGCTATTATGGCATCGACGCCCAATTATGTGGCCGAGCGAGAGTTTCATGCCATTTACGATGTTATTCTTATGAATAAGAAAGTAGAAAAGATATCGAGCGATGTCACTGTCATTGGATAATGCGTAATGTTAAAGGGTTGAGCCGGGTGGGCCCAGAGACAGTGAAGGTAGTATCAATGAGCGTTTACGGTAATCCAAACGACCTTCTTAAATTCACTTTGAATTGGAAATGGAGTGTCCTTAAGCCAATCGTCCACGATAATTGGCAGGAATATCGGTCGTTTGCGAGGTAAAGCAGAGATATTAAGCTGATTGGGGGTAGCTGATGGCGGTGAAGCCATCTCGAATTCATCCAACTGAGAAAGTAATTATTATTTCATTGAAATACTGATATTAAAGAAGGAGCAAATTTTATTTGTATAATGACAAATATAATCACGGGTATTTCGATAGGCGCAATACTAACAACTCTTAATTATCCTTTTAAATAATCCTGTGATTTATGAATAGCATTTGAACTATATAGAATTGTATAGTTTGTAAGATAATTACTGGACACGCCAACGCAGTAAAAACATGAGGGTTCTCCCTGTCTGTCTGTCTGTCTCTCTCTCTCTCTCTCTCTCTCTCTCTCTCTCTCTCTTCTCGAACGCGCGCAATAGATAAGTGTTTCGATAAATTTACTTCCACCTCGAATCTTTCGCGAAATAAATATATTTTAAAATCATAAAATAGTACATTCATATAATCATAAATATAGAAGTAGAGAAAATTTTGCAATTTTGATACACAACATTATTATTATCGTTTATCCTTCTATCATATAACTCGGACAATCACAACAAAAATTGTGTTTTCACAAACCATAACTTTATTAATATAAAGGCGTAATATTGACTATCGCGGCTTAAGAATTTTGAAGTAGCAAAACTATTTTCACAATAAATTTAGAAGGATGTGTAAATTTTCAAGAAAAAATCATAATGTAATAAAGTATGAAAGCTTGATATTATTAAAAACTTATAAAGTTGAAAAGCGATAGAAACTAAGAATCGCTTAACAATTTTAATTATAATAAATATTTCTTGACTAGCATTGAACTGCTTATAAAGAAATTTAGAAATTAATTAAGAAATGATTTCATTTATAATATAACAATATTGAACGTAATATCCGCATGTTAAAATCAAATTAGATTAAAAATTATTTAACTTTTATGTATAAGTGTTTACATGTGTGTTTATATATATATATATATATATATATATATATATATATATATACAGAAATATATATAGAAATATATAAAAAAAAAATCGGTAATCCAATGATCGTATATCGTTTGAAATCACATTTAATTCAAGAATCGAATTTTTATATTAAAAAATAAAATGTAAATCACAGTATTGGATAAGTCAGGATGCAATAATACGGTATTACTTAAATAATATCATTATTTTAATAAGTTTAATTAAAGCAGGGATTTATTAAGCTTTTGCGCTTATTACATATTTTAATATTGAAAATATGCAATTAAATTGAAAATTATTTATTCGATTGAGCATAATAATATTCTGTAAATACGTTACTTAGCTCGATGACGATACTAATATAAATTGCCGGTATTATCTTAAAATAATGAAAATTATTCTTCTCTAATAATGATTCTTCGGCGTATTCCGTTTAAATTAGAAAATCAATTAAGCCAACAATGGACTTACATATCCGTTGTCAATCCTTCATCCATATTGATTCCTGAAACTCCTATTTTTGCACAATATTCATTATATATCGTTCTCATAAATATTTCAAGAGAATAAAAAGGAAAAAAAAAATCTAAATTACCATCAAACTTTATTACTAAGGAATCTTATAAAAAAAACTTAAATTATTTCGAATAAACAATTTGGAACAAATATTTATGACAGTTCATTATTATTAAGGATAATTATAATTAATCGTAGAACATTTTAAAAATATATGTTTATGTAACAACAGATAATAATTTGCCTAATCAAATGATTAAAAACATTTATAAAAGTGTTATTTATAAATATAAGTGTTATTTAAAAAATTCTGTGCATTTATGTAATAATCTAATTGCGAAATCTGTCTATGAAATATTAACCCAATTAAATCGGGAAGAAATTAACCACCAAATAATAACCATATATAGCTGTCCTTTATTTATGTAATGAGAAATAAAGGGACAGATTTGCTGTAATTTCATAATATTCAGGAAGTTGCGTAGAAATGGGACGTTCGTTCGTTTTTCATTCGTTAATTCTTTCCCTCTTGCTCGTACCTGTTCACTATCATCTGGACGACTTATACCTTTGAACTCGGCGAGGAAGAAGTAATTCTGTTCCTAAGGAGTTAAGTCGACCGGTTCCTTCTTCCTTTGACCGAAGATTTCTAACTCTACCGGTTTCCCATACTACTCCGTCTCACTTAGTACTTTGGGATGCTTAGACTCGTCTGCATGATAAACCGATTAATTTTCGTTTTTCTTTTGACGATTTTACTGTTGACAAGTTAAGATCGAAAAAAACACTTCATCGCTCAAATATATATATAATTTTAGGTTGTAATTCAGTCGTTTTTAGTTTGAAAATTGTATTTTCATAACAAAGACGTAAAGCCCAGATGGATGTTTGGTTAAGTTGAAAGTACCGCGGCTAAAAATAATTCAATATCTCAAATTGAATTGAATGATCGCATGAGCAAACAAGTGTAAAAACATGTTTACATGACATCGTGCCTCGTTGATCATTTTAGTATAAAAATCTAAAATTATTTAATCACTTGCTTGTACCTAAAGAAAATTGTATCAAGCATAAATGTATTATCGTTAATAGCACATCTTATAAGTGATAGATTAATTTAATAATAAAAAATTTCAAATATAATTTGAGTTCGTTGGACAGTGATGATTTTCAAACTAAATTTACGTTCGAGCTAGTACGTTCAATCTGTTTATAATTTATTTTTATAACGTTATTGTTGCTCTTTCACCTCAAGACAGTTGATTGAAAAAAAAAAAAAAACTAATCTGATCATTGAAAAAGCCTCATCCTATGAAAGATTATTTTTTTATAATTTTTCACATTGCCATAAAATAAGCGCGATCAATGCGCCCTAATTCTTCCTTAAAAAAGAAAAATTCTTAAATTAGATCCCAATTAAAAAGGATTTAAATATAGTCAGCTAAAGTATCCTTATAATTGTTCAAAAAAAATCTTTCAACAGGCTTTCCATCTCACTTCAACGATACGTTACCTCGCTCGCTTAAACATCCGAGGATAGGCAAAAATGAGCGTTTGACTAAGAAAACAAGGAGAGCGCAGCTGCAGGAAAGCTAATACATCGATGGGACCGAGAGAAAAAGGGGCCAGTGGCGATGGCGAGGGAGTGGTATATTGCGGTATTGGTGAGTTGGTGAGGGGCTATTGATAATGGCGTGGTGAGGTGATGGGCGGGGGGGGGGGGGGGCGGGAAGGGTGACGG